TGTTTTGAGAATTTGCAATGTTGTAAGACACTGTCTGTGGTACACAGTTCTATGGGTCTTGACAAATGCATAGAGCCGTGTACCCCCCAGCCCAGAACCCCACAGAGCAGCGCCTACACCCCAGACGGTCCCTCATGTGCCCTTCAGAGTCAGCTGTCCCTGCCTGGTCTGTTTCTGCTGGTTCTGTTTCCCTTTCCCTCACTCAATTTTTGTTTGTTTGTTGTTTTGAGATGGAGTCTTGCTCTGTTGCACAAGCTGGAGTGCACTAGTGTGATCTTGGCTCATTGCAACCTCTGCCTCTTGGAGTCAAGCAACTCTCCTGCCTTAGCCTCCCGAGTAGCTGGGATTGATTACAGGCGCCCACCACCGTGCCTGGCTAATTTTTGTATTTTTAGTAGAGACCGGGTTTTGCCACGTTAACCAGGCTGGTCTTGAACTCCTGACCTCAGGTGATCTGCCCACCTCAGCCTCCCAAAGTGCTGGGATTACAGGCGTCAGGCATCGCGCCCAGCCCCCTCCCCCCTCCACCATTTGTACTCCACCTTGCTGAATTGCATGGGGCACCGCAAGCTCCCTTAGCTGTTTCCGGCATGGGGCGGGCTTAGTGGAAAAGTGGAGCAACCCACTTCCAGCAGCAAAGGCTCGTGGCGCTTTCCACAGGTGGCTGGTCCATCCACCCTCAGATAACGGACGTGATGGTCTCAGCCTCACTGGTGTGCTCACCAGTGTCGCATTCTAGCCGCCTGGGCTCACCACACGCATAAAAGGAGGTCCCTGACTTGTTTTAGGGGCCCCGAAGGGGAGCTGCTTTCTGTACTCACATGGCTGCTCCAGCCCTCAGGCACCATAGACACAGGACCCGAGCTTCTGGGGATGAGGATGCAAAACTAGGCATCCTCTCCCTGGCCCCAGGCTAGAAAGCTTCCTTGGCAAGAAACCTGCATGCAGTGGAATGGCTGGGGCCTGCTGGTCCCCGCACTGATTCCTGCAGCCCTGGGAGGAGCGGACCAGGCCTCAGTGGCCCTGACTGGCAGCGTGGCTTTGGGCAGGTTGTTTCTACCTGTCTGTCTGTCTGTCTTCACCAGGAAACTAGAAATACTTCTCAAAGGGTTGTTCAGAAAATTTGAAGTAGTTGCTCAGAAAGTGACTGGTACATCACTGCCCTAGGAGCGGGGACGTGTGGCAGGCAGGAGGTGGTCTCCCTGCACATCCGCCTGTCCTCCAGATGTCTCCCTGCACACCTGCCTGTCACCCCTGTGCACAGCAGCCTGCCCCTTCACAACCCAGATAGGCTGTGCAATGCATGTTCCTTGGCAGTCAGAAAGGACCCAGCTCTGACTCACACTGCAGTGTGGGTGAGCCTCCAACGCGCCGTGCTGAGTGAGAGGTGCCAGACACAAATGTCCACACATCATATGATTCAGTTCCTGCAAAACCCACAGAGACCAGAGCAGCGGGGTGGGGTGAGGACGAGAGCTAAAAAGTACCAAGTTTCTGCCTTGCGGTGTTGTAGATGTCCTAAAATTGACTTTGGTGATGACTGCCCAACCATGCATATACCAAAACCATACAATTGTTCACCTTAAGTTTTTTTGTTTGTTTGTTTTTTGAGATGGAGTTTCGCTCTTTCCAGGCTGGAGTGCAATGGCACGATCTCGGCTCACCGCAACCTCCGCCTCCTGGGTTCAGGCAATTCTCCTGCCTCAGCCTCCTGAGTAGCTGGGATTACAGGCACGCGCCACCACGCCCAGCTAGTTTTTTGTATTTTTAGTAGAGACGGGGTTTCACCATGTTGACCAGGATGGTCTCGATCTCTCGACCTTGTGATCCACCCGCCTTGGCCTCCCAAAGTGCTGGGATTACAGGCTTGAGCCACCGCGCCCGGCCTTATTTTCTTATTTTAAGAAAAGATCTTGGCCAGGTATGTTGGCTCACACCTGTAATCCCAGCACTTTAGGAGGCCAAGGTGGGCAGATCACCTGAGGTCAGGAGTTCAAGACTGGCCTTGCCAACATGGTGAAACCCCATCTTTACTAAAAATACAAAAAATTAGCCGGGCATGGTGTCAGGTGCCTGTAATACCAGCTAGCCAGGAGGCTGAGGCAGGAGAATCTCTTGAACCTGAGAGGCAGAGGTTGCAGTGAGCAGAGATCGCGCCATTGCACTCCAGCCTTGGCAACAAGAGCAAAACTCCGTCTCAAAAAAAAAAAAAAAAAAAAAAGAGGATCTTGCTGTGTCACCCAGGCTAGAGTGCAGTGGCACAATCACAGTTCACTGCAGCCTCGACCCCCTGATCTCAAGCAATCCTCCCACGTTGGCCTTCCAAGTACCTGGGACCACAGGAGTGAGGCACATACCAGGCTGCTTTTTGTTTTTTTTTGTAGAATCAGTCTTGTTATGTTGCTCAGGCTGGTCTCAGACTCTGGACCTCAAGCAATCCTCCCACCTCGGCCTCTCAAACTGCTGGGATTACAGATGTGAGCCACCACAACCAGTTTATAATGCTGTTTTAAAAAAAAATTAACTGGATAGTTACAAATGTGAACATGTGTACACGGAAGTGATGCATGTGTCTGCCGGTGTGGGTGCTCCTGGGCTTCCTACTGGTAGCTCAGCCGCCTCTCCCGGCCCTGACCCTCACTGCTTGGCTTCAGGAGACAAGCCCAAGGCATCTGGGTCACCACCTTCCACTTCTGAAAGCCAGGCTCAAGTGAGGTCAAGGTGCTGTGGCTGAGCAGGGAGGCTGCCTTCCTTGCAGTCAGGGACGCTGTCACTTCCGGCTGGACTCTTGTCCCACGGTGCTGGCCAGGGCAGGTGCACAGTTGTGCTTGGTGGGTCAGGATGCTGATGAGGGCTATGTTGCTGCCAGGCCCGGCCACTGTGAGCTGAGATCCTGCCACTACCCTCTAGCCTGGAAGACAGAGCGAGACTCTGTTTCAAAAAAAAAAAAAATTATAAATAGAACTACCCTGTGATTCAGCAGTCACACACTTCTGGGTATGTATCCAAAAGAGCTGGCTGGGCACAGTGGCTCATGCCTGTAATCCCAATATTTTCAGAGGCTAAGGCTAAGGCTAATTGCTTGAGCCCACAAGTTGGAGAACAGCCTGGGCAAGATGGCAAGACCCCCCTGGCAACAAACAACTGTAAACCCTGGTGCGGGGTCCTAGCTACTTGGGAGGCTGAGGCAGGAGGATTGCTTGAGTCCAGGAATTAGAGTCTGCAATGAGCTACGATGGTGTCACCGCACTCCAGCCTGGGTGACAAAGTAAGACCCCAACTCTTAAACAAACAAACAAAAAAAAAGTTGGGAGGCCAGGCACAGTGGCTCACACCTGTAATCCCAACACTTTGGGAGATCGAGGCGGGGGGTCACCTGAGGTCAGGAGTTCAAGACCAGCCTAGACAACAGAGTGAAGCCCCATCTCTACTAAAAGTACAAAAAATTAGCTGGGCATAGTGGCTCACACCTGTAATCCCAGCTACTTGTGCCTGAACCCAGGAGGTGGAGGTTGCAGTCAGCCAAGACTGTGCCACTGCACTCCAGCCTGGCAATAGAGCGAGTCTCAGGGGAAAAAAAAGAGTTGGCAGCAAGGTCTTGAAGAGATACTTGTACACGCATGTTCGCGGCAGCGCTACTCACAACAGTGAAAAGGCGAAAGCAACCCTAGTGTCTATCCACAGATGAACAGATAAACGAAAGTGTGTTCCGTCCATACAGGGGAATAGTATTCGGCCTTAAAATGAAGGGAATCTTGACACATAATCCAACTCTGCTCAGACACAAAAGACAAAAAGCATAGGATCCCACCTATATCAGGTCCCCAGAGTCCTGAGATTCAGAGAGCTGGAAGTGCAATGGTGGGTGCCAGGCCTGGGAGAGGAAGGTGGGTTAGTGTTTAGTGGGGACAGGGCAGAGTTCTAGTTTGGGATGATGAGAAAGCTCTGGAGGCGGACGGTGGAGATGGTGGCACAGCCATGTGACTATATTTAATGCCATTGAACTGTATGCTTAAAAATGGCTAAGACAGGCCAGACACGGTGGCTCACGCCTATTATCCCAGCACTTTGGGAGGCCGAGGCGTGCGGATCACCTGAAGTAGGGAGTTCAAGACCAGCCTGACCAAAATGGAGAAACCCCGTCTCTACTAAAAATACAAAATTAGCCACATGCAGTGGCGCGTGCCTGTAGTCCCAGCTACTTGGGAGGCTGAGGCAGGAGAATCACTTGAACCCAGGAGGCGGAGGTTATGGTGAGCCGAGATCACACCATTGCACTCCATCCAGCCTGGGCAACAAGAACGAAACTCCATCTCAAAAAAAAAAAAAAAAATGGTTTAACACGGTAAATTTTATGTTACGTATATTTTATCACAATAAAAAGTAATATTTTTTTGCAGCCAAGATATGCAAAAACAAACGGCTTTGTTTGTTTGTTTATTTACTTATTATTTGAGACAGAGTCTCACTCTGTTGGCTCACTGCAACCTCTGCCTTCTGGGTTCAAGTGATTCTCATGCCTCAGCCTCCCGAGTAGGTAGAATTACAGGTTCACACCACCATGTCCAGGTAATTGTTGTGTTTTCAGTAGAGACAGGGTTTCAACATGTTGACCAGGATGGTCTCGAACTCCTGACCTCAAATAATCCACCCGCCTTGGCCTCCCAAAGTGCTGAGATTACAAGTGTGAGCCACTGCGCCCAGTCAAGAAGTGACTTCAAAAGGAAAAATGTAAGCGCCAACGTAAGCTGGTGTAATGTAATTCCCACCAATGTAAGTTGGCAGGAATCCCTGCTCTGTATAGAAAGGTCACATTTTCTCATCACTGCTCCCAGGCATGACAGCAGCAGCCTCATGGCCTTATCTGGGGGAAGGCGCTTCCCTCCAAGTGCCACGAAGGCCTCACATGCTGAGATAAGATTCCGTGCCGTTTCTCTTCCTTCCTGAAGCTCCTAGTCTTCCCTGAGAACTGACACAGCCTGTGGTTCTCTGTCTGTCAGGATGCGCGGGCGGCCGTGGGCCCCTTCGACCCCTCCAGTCTGCTGCCCGCCTGCCGGGATTACTGGACCTACCCGGGCTCACTCACCACCCCGCCGCTGACCGAGTCGGTCACCTGGATCATCCAAAAGGAGCCTGTTGAAGTGGCCCCAGGCCAGGTGAGCTGTGCCCGTAACCGGCGTGGTAGCCCTTCATGGGAGGCGTTTCTCCTGCTTGGCAGCATCACTAAGATACTGCATAAGAGCGTTGTCGAGTGATATCCTTTCATGCATTTGGGGCGTTCTTACACAAGAAGAAATTTCCAACTGAGTCGGAGCTTGTTAAGATTGACTCTTTTATCACAGCTCTTTTATCACATTGAGATATGAGAGAGAGCGGGAAGGAGGGGAAAGGGCCCTGATGCAGGAAACTTGAGAGTTTGAGTCACCCTCCTTGGTGAAGGACAGTAAGAAATCGGGCAGGCGCAGTGGCTCATGCCTGTAATCCCAGCCCTGATGCATGGCTTTATGGCAGCGATATCTAATCTCCAGTGGCTCAGCCTCCAGGCAGAGCAGGTGCCCCAAGGACACGAGGTTGAACTAGGTCAGTGTTTGATCATCCAGTAAAATTACTCTAAAAAAAAAAAAAAGAGAGAGAAGTAGGCTGAGTGTGGTGGCTCATGCCTGTAATCCCAGCACTGTGGGAGGCTGAGGTGGGCAGATCATGAGGTCAGGAGTTCAAGACCAGCCTGACCAATATGGTGAAACCCCGTCTCTACTAAAAACACAAAAATTACCTGGGCATGGTGGCGCGTGCCTGCAGTCCCAGCTACTCAGGAGGCTGAGGCAAGAGAATTGCTTGAACCTGGGAGGCAGAGGTTACAGTGAGCCGAGATCGTGCTATTGCACTCCAGCCCGGGCGATAGAGTGAGACTCCATCTCAAAAATAAAAAAAAAAAGAGAGAGAGAGAGAAGTGACGTCATCTTTGGCGTGTGGGTCCTGGCCCATAGGGGAACTCCATAGCAATTTGTAAGTGAATACGTTAACCAAGAAATGGATGTCATAGATGTATGCGGAAATCGGTTAAAGAAGTAGAACGAGGCGGCGTGGTGGCTCACACCTGTAATCCCAGCGCTTTGGGAGGCTGAGGCAGGCGAATCACCTGAGATCAGGAGTTCAAGACCAGCCTGGACAACATGGTGAAACCCAATCTCTACAAAAATACAAAAATTAGCTGGGTGTCCTGGGAGGCGCCTGTAATCCCAGCTACTTAGGAGTCTGAGGTGGGAGAATCACTTGAACCCAGAGGTGGAGGTTGCGGTGAGCCGAGGTTGCACTGCACTCCAGCCTGGGTGACAAGAGTGAGACTCCTCACAAAAAAAAAAAAAAAAAAAAAAAAAGAGTAGGCAGTAAGATGGTAGAGTGAGAGAAAACTCAAGAGTTTGAGTTACCTCCGTTGGTGAAGGACGGTAAGAAATCTGGGCCGGGCACGGTGACTCATGCCTGTAATCCCAGCACTTTAGGAGGCCAAGGTGGGCAGATCACTTGAGGTTCGGAGTTCCAGATCAGCCTGAGCAACATGGTGAAACCCCATCTCTTACTAAAAATACAAAAATTACCCTGGCATGATGGTGCACGCCTGTAATCCCAGCTACTTGGGAGACTGAGGCAGGAGAATCGCTTGAACCCGGAGATAGGAGGTTGCAGTGAGCCGAGATCTCATCACTGCACTCCAGCCTGGGCAACGAACCAAGACGTCGTCTCAAAAAATAATAATAATAATTGAGATGGTGGAGGATTCTCTTGTGGCTACTTCAGAAAGCTGCAGAGCTACATGTGTGTAGAGAAAGTCCAGGTGGACTGCATGAGTCAGCAATCGCTACGACAACGCTGAGTCACAAAACACCCCAAGCTCAGCAGCTCACAGCAAGCACTTGCTGTGTTTTCTCATCAGTCCATGCAATGGCTGGAGGCTGCTGGGCCCTGGATGGTGGAGCTTTGCAGAAGGAAGGCTGTGTTTGGGGTGCAGTGGGGGCCAGGGGCTCTCATATTTCTTGGACAGTAGCTACCCCGGGCAGGTTCTCAAGGACAGCCATGCCAGTGGCAGGAGCACAGGGGAGGTGCCTGCTGGCAGCACTGTGCTCACACCCTGTTGGTCAAAGCCACTTTCAACAGTAAGGACAAAGTCACAAGGCAGGAGGAGGTGAGTGAGCATGTTCTGAGTGATGCCCCCTTCTGTCACACACAGACACACAAGGCACTCATGGGACTTGGCCCAGGGTCGTGGGTCTGCGTGATTTGGTTTTCTTCCTTTTTCCTGTGTAAATAGTTGTACTGTTTTTTGTTTGTTTGTTTGTTTGTTTGTTTTATGAAGTCTCACTCTGTCGCCCGGCTGGAGTGCAGTGGCGCGATCTCAGCTCACTGCAACCTCCGCCTCCCGGGTTCAAGCGATTCTCCAGCCTCACCCGCTTGAGTAGCTGGGATTACAAGTGCACACCACCACGCCCAGCTAATTTTTTGTATTTTTGGTAGAGATGGGGTTTCACCATGTTGGTCAGGTTGGTCTCGAACTCCTGACCTTGTGGTCCACCCACCTCAGCCCCCCAAAGTGCTGGGATTACAAGCGTGAATCATCATGCCCAGGTTTTTTTTGTTTTTTGTTTTTGTTTTTTGAAAATTAGTTGATAATACTTGTAAACATTTTTAAAAGTTATACTATTGGGCTGGGCATGGTGGCTCATGCCTATAATCTTAGCACTTTAGGATGCTGAGGCAGGCAGATCACTTGAGGCCAGGGGTTTGAGACCAGCCTGACCAACATGGTGACATCCCATCTCTACTAAAAATACAAAATTAGTGGACACCTGTAATCTCAGCTATTTGGGAGGCTGGGGCAAGAGAATCACTTGAACCTGGGAGGTGGAGGCTGCAGTGAGCCGAGATTGTGCAATTACACTCCAGCCTGGACAACAAGAGCAAAACTTCGTCTCAAATCAATCAATAAAAATGCAAAAATTACCCAAGCATGGTGGCATGCACCTGTAGTCCCAGCTACATGGGAGGCTGAGGCAGGAGAATCACTTGAACCTGGAAGGTGGAGGTTGCGGTGAGCTGAGATCTCACCACTGCACTCCAGCCTGAGCGGCAGAGTGAGACTCTTGTCTCAAAATAAATAAATAAATAAATAAAAGTTATACTATATTTTTTCCGGAAATCTTGAAAGAGTCTGTAGGAATTTTGTCTGTCCAAGGTGGTTTAGAGCCCAAGTGTGCCGCCCATCCCCACCTCCGCCCATCAGATGTTTCTCAGCAGTCAGGGCAGTTCCCCTGGAGTTCCCCTAAGGGCCAGTGTAAGGGTCATTGCCGAGTTTAAAATGAGGAAACTGAGGCCAGTATAAGAAAATTAAATGCCAGCCGGGCGCAGTGGCTCAAGCCTGTAACCCCAGCGCTTTGGGAGGCCGAGGCAGGTGGATTACGAGGTCAAGACGTCGAGACCATCCTGGTCAACATGGTGAAACCCCGTCTCTACTAAAAATACAAAAAAAGTAGCTGGGCATGGTGGCGTGTGCCTGTAATCCCAGCTACTCGGGAGGCTGAGGCAGGAGAATTGCCTGAAGCCAGGAAGCGGAGGTTGCGGTGAGCCGAGATTGTGCCATTGCACTCCAGCCTGGGTAACGAGCGAAAGTCCGTCTCAAAAAAAGAAAAGAAAAGAAAATGCCAATTTATTAAGCTCCCGGGCGAGTTTCTCTGGTCCGGGGAAAGGGAGCCAGAGAAGTCGCGCTGACTTCCTGGGACGGGGGTTATGGCTGGGAGGACCCAGCAACAGCTGGGTGCTCTGACTGAGTCCAGGGGAGTGGGATTGAGACGGGGTGGGCTGCTATTGGTTGGTGGGTTGCTGAGCGGGTTTTCCGGTGCAAGAGCAGGCCAGGGTTGCATTAGCCAGAGCCTTCCAGGGGAGCCATGCGGCAGAGCCAGGTGCCAGGTGCAGAGCCAGGTGCCTAGTGCAGAGGTGGGTGAGTCCAGCCTCCCGGTGAGGCAACCAGCCTTACAGCCAGGACCCACACGCCGAAGATCTCTGGCTCAGCTCTTTCTCCGGGCTCCAGGTGAGCTCTTTGAGGGTCCTTCTGTCTCCCGGGTCTGTGAAAATATTCCCTTATTTACAAATCATGGCATGATATTTGCACTTGGAGACCTGGGACGTGGAATATCTGCCTGCCTCCCAACCACAGCTGCTGGACATGGGGAAGGGCTCTGGGTGAAGGTAGCCCTTGTCAGCAAGGCCCTTACACCACTGGGCAAGCATATATCTGACAAGTGCCCACTCCAGGTCAGTGCCACCAGGAGAGAGTGGGGGGGCAAGTGTGGAGGGGTGGCACCGGAACAGGACATTCGTGTCAGCATGCCGCTGTCTGGCAGGAAAGTAGAAGCAAAGTCGATAGTATTAAACCAGGGTGGCTGATGTCATATAAATATGCAGGGCAGGGCAGGGCACAGTGGCTCAGGCCTGGAATCCCCGCACTTTGGGAAGCTGAGGCGGGTGGATCACCTGAGGTTAGGAGTTCAAGACCAGCCTGACCAACATGTTGAAACCCTGTCTCTACTAAAAATACTAAATTAGCCGGGCGCGGTGGCTTGTGCCTGTAATCCCAGCTACTCAGGAGGCTGAGGCAGAATCACTTGAAGCTGGGAGGCCAAGGTTGCAGCGAGCTGAGATCTTGCCATTGCATTCCAGCTTGGGCAACAAGCATGAAACTCCATCTCAAAACAACAACCACAACAAAAATCATTTATTATCTCCCACAGTTTCCATGGCTTGGGAATTTGGGTGGCTCTGGCTTACCATCTTTCATGGAGTTGTAGCCCGATGTCAGCTGGGACCGCGGCTATCCAAAAGCTCCACCAGGGCTAGAAGACCCATTCCCAAGGTTGGCCCTCCCAAGTGGCTGGCAAATTGGTGCTGGCAGTTGGCTGGGGGACTCAGTTCCTCTCCCCATGGGCCTTTCCTCAGGGCTGCTTGAGTACACTCCCAATATGACGACCAGCCTCCCCCCAGAGCAAGTGATCCTGAAGACCAAGGCCAAAGTGGCAGTGCCTGCCTTGCACACCGTCACGTGCACCACACCTCCACCATTTTACTGGTCATTTGGGGCCATCCCTGATTCTTCATGGGACGGGACCACACAAAGCCTGAGAGACACCTGGGGGCTGGCTTACCCTACACCCATACCAAGCTCACCCTGGCTGCCCTCTATTCCAGCTCTCTGCATTTCGTACGCTCCTGTTTTCTGCACGTGGTGAAGAGGAGAAGGTGATGGTGAACAACTATCGCCCGCTTCAACCCCTGATGAACCGGAAGGTCCGGGCATCCTTCCAGGCACAAGATCCTGGAGACACTAGGTCCACATGAATAGCAGGACTGACTTTGAAGGAAGGAAGCGCTGTTTCCCAAGTTTCACAATGTGATTGTACGTGACTTCTGGAATTAAAGAGAGAATGAGATTACTGTTTTAGTCAACATACTTTTATGCTGCAAGTGAAAGAAAGACATGTAAGTACCGTGGGGAACATCACGCTGGGACAGAGGGCTGTGACATGGGACCCGAGGCAGTGCAGGGTGCTTTGGTTCACTGTAACGAAGTACCACGAACTTGGTGGCTTAAAGTAACAGAGATTGATCCTCTGGCTTAGTGAACCAGGAGCCTGACACCAAAGTCAGCACCGCTGCTGCTTTCTGAGACTCCAGGGGAGATCCTTTTTCTTGTCCTTCCAGCTTCTGCCTCCTCCTTATAAGAACGCTTGTGGCCAGGCACATAAGTGGCTCATGCCTGTAATCCCAGCACTTTAGGAGGCCGAGGAGGGCAGAAAATCACCTGAGGTCAGGAGTTCAAGACCAGCCTGGCCAACATGGTGAAATCCTGTCTCTACTAAAAATACAAAAATTAGGCTGGGCGCGTGTGGCTTATGCCTGTAATCCTAGCACTTTGGGAGGCTGAGGTGGGTGGATCACCTGAGGTCAGGAGTTCAAGACCAGCTTGGCCATCATGTGAAACCCCATCTTATTAAAAAAAAAAAAAATACAAAAATTAGCCTGGCGTGGCGGCACATGCCTGTAATCCCAGCTACTCAAGAGGCAGAGGCAGAAGAATCGCTTAGACTCAGGAGGCAGAGGCTGCAGTGAGCTGAGATCGTGCCGTTGCACTCCAGCCTGGGTGATAAGAGTGAAACTTTGTCTAAAAAAAAAAAAAAAAACTCTTATGATAACACTGGACCCACCTGAATAATCCAGGCTACTCTCCCCACCCCAAGACCCTTGGCTTAATCATACTGCAAGTCCCCTTTGTCACATGAGGTCACATATTTACAGAATCTGAGGATTAGGATGAGGGCATGTTGAGGAGCCGTTATTTTGCTGCTAATCCTAGTCACTGAGAGATCCTTGGTGTTGGGGATGGGGTGGATTGTGTGGTTAGAAGGCCCGGAGGGTGCCCCCCAGGGAAATACCAAGACAGGGGAAGCCATACTCAACACCTTTGCTGAATGTCCCTCGAATACCATGCCTTTGAACTCTGTTTCCTACCAGCTTCCCACATGTGGGAAGGCCAGAGGCTGAACTGGGCTCCTGAAGAACCTTTCCTGGAAGCTCCACCCAGCATTGTCCACACTGTCAGCTGGGCCTGTGGGAAGTTTTTAGCAGGGCATAGTGCCTCTCCCCATCACGCTGACTTTAACTTCTTAGACTGTGCCCTGATGTTGTGCCCTGAGCGTCTGCAGTGAGCTTTCTTGCTAAAAGCTCACCTCAAGCCTCCCTTTGCATGGCTGACTTGTCCTGCCCCAATGGGACCAAGCCGTGTGCCACGGGCTCTCCCAACTCCCTTCCATCCCTGTGCCCTGAGCTCTCCGGGCCCCCTTCCCTCCTCATGCCATGTGCTCTCCCGCCCCCCCCCGCCCCCGTGCCTCGCGCTCTCCTAGCTCCCTTCCCTCCCTGCAGTTGTCTCAAGCTAAAACGGACAGCCACCGACCTCTCATTACCTCCTATCCCCAGGCTGTCTGGCCTACTACCTGGTATGCAGTGGACATCCAACAGATGTAAATAATGACGACAAAATAACATGATTATGTATGTAGAAAATCCCAAATGTCAGGGCTGGGCGCCATGGCTCACGCCTGTAATCCCAGCTACTTGGGAAGCTGAGGCAGGAAAATTGTTTGAACCTGGGAGGTGGAGGTTACAGTGAGCCAAGATCACACCATTGCACTCCAGCCTGGGAGAAAGGGCGAGACTCTGTTTCCAAAAAAAAAAAAAAAGAAAGAAAGAAAAATCTCAAATGTCCACAGACAAATTACTGGAATAAATTACTGAATTTAGCAAGATCACCAGTTACAGGGACAATATACAGAAATCAGTTATTTCCGTGAACAATAAGGAGAAAATGAAAAATTTAGAAATATATCATTAACAATAGCATCAGAAAATCAAAATTAGATCTGGCAAAAGATATACAAAACTTCTACTGTGAAAACTACAAAACACGGCCAAGAGAAATTAGAGAAGATCTGAATAACAGAAGCTACACCATGTTCATAGACTGGAACCCCCAATATTATGAAGGTACCAGTTCTCCCCAAAGTGATTTGTATATTGGACTCCCGGTAGAAACCCCATCAGAGGGGTGTGTGTGTGTGTGTGTGTGTGTGTGTGTATAAATTAACAACTTGATTCTAGATTTGCATGGAAATGCAAAAGAACCAAAAATAGGCCAGGTACAGTGGCACACGCCTGTAATCCCAGCACTTTGGGATGCCAGCTTGGGCAGATCACCTGAAGTTAGGAGTTCAAGACCAGCCTGACCAACATAGCGAAACCTCATCTCTACTAAAAATACAAAAATTAGCCAGCCGTGGTGGCGGGTGCCTATAATCCCAGCTACTCAGGAAACTGAGGCAGGAGAATCACTTGAACCCAGAGGGCAGAGGTTGCAGTGAGCTGAGATCGCACCACTGCACGCCAGCCTGGGTGACAGAGCGAGACTCCATCTCAAAAGAAAAAAAGAGAGCGAGAAAGCAACAGGTTGGCTATGGCCCCAGCATACAGGGCCACAGAACACGGTGGCAGAGTACAGCCCACTGCCATTCTCGGCACCATATCATTCGTGCAGGGGGATCGCTGGAACCCAGAAGGCGGAGGTTGCTGTGAGCCGAGATCAAGCCGCTGTACTCCAGCCTGGGTGACAGAGTGAGACTCCATCGGAAAAAAAAAAAAAAAAAGAAAGGGGTGAAAGGTTGTCCCAGAGTGGAGAAGAGATTTGTAAAATGGACAAAGGCCTTGTAATTGGAGTATATAAAGAACTCCTAAAAATCAATAAGAAAACCACAGATAGCCCAAGAGAAAAATGGGCAAATGACTCAAGTAGGTATCTAGTGAAAGAGGATATGAGAAGACCAGTGAATCTGTGGAAGATGCTCAACACAGTTAATAATTAGGGAAATGCAAATTCAATCCGCAGGAGAAGCCTTGGCACATTCTCCACAAGGTACAGAACGACCTGGTGTTGAGGACCGGAACGACCACTCTGGAAAACTCTTTGGCAGCCCAGCCAAACCTAGCATCCCCACACAAAAATGCCCTTTGCTTCGAACCCAGCAGCAGTCTCAAAGTCCCCGCCCAGCCTGTGGGGACCCATTACCCACTCTTGCCTCCTATCCCTCTCTCCTCACCCCTGCACTCAGCTGCCCTCACCCTCAGGCTGCCCCTTGGACACCCGAAGGACGCTCCTGCCTCCAGCCTCTGCCTGGAATTCTCTGCCTCTCCGCCTTCAGGTAGCCATGTGGTTCACTCCTCCCTTGATCTCTGCCCAAATGGCCCCTGTTGAAGAGACCTCCCCTCCCAGCCATCTCCTCTCCCTGTGACTTTCCACCCGAGACCTTCTGTGTTTATGCATTCAAGGTCTACTTCCTTCCATCAGAGTGTGAGCTCCATGCACAAAGGCTAGTCAGACCTGAGGCAGTCTAGGCTGCGTCCCCAGAGTCTAGAATAGAGCTTGCCACGTAATTGACACCCGATAAATGTTACATTGATTTCTGGAAGCCGTCCTGGCACAAGTGGTAGCTCTCTTTCCACCAAAGGAATGAGCTTGCCAGGAAAGAGACAACATCAGCAAAGAGAGACAGAAAAGCCACACTCAGAGCCATCACTGAGCTCTGGATCAATGACACAAGCCAATGGGTGCTCTTTCACTTCAGCCACTGTGGCTTGCTTTTTACCTATCACTTGCTTGGAGAAAAATCCAAATTAGCACAGTATTTTTCTTTTCTTTTCTTTTCTTTTTCTTTTTTTAGACAGAGTCTCGCTCTGTCACCCAGTCTGCAGTGCAATGGTGCAATCTCGGCTTACAGCAACTTCCGCCTCCCGGGTTCAAACGATCCTCCCACCTCAGCCTCCCCAGTAGCTAGGATTTCAGGGATGCACCACCATGCCTGGCTAATTTTTTGTGTGTGTGCGTGTGTGTGTGTATTTTTAGTAGACAAAGGATTTCTTCATGTTGACCAGGCTGGTCTCGAACTGCTGACCTCAGGTGATCTGCCTGCCTCATCCTCTCAAAGTGCTGGGATTACAGGCATGTGCCACCGTGCCCATCCCAGTATTTTTATTTTCATAAAAATAATTTCATTAAAAAATTTTCCTGCCAGAAGCAGTTTTACAATCAACCTAATGGTGTTATCTTCCCATGTTACCTTACGGTCAGACAAGCACAGAAGAATAAGCAGATGCTAATCTGTCTCCCAAGGTGATAAACACCATTGCATTCTGTGAGGATAAAGAATAAGTAGATTAGGTCAGGCGAGGTGTCTTGTGCCTGTATCCCAGCACTTTGGGAGGCTGAGGCGAGTGGATCACCTGAGGTCATGGAATTCGAGAGCGACCTGCCCAACATGGTGAAACCCTGTCTCTACTAAAAATACAAAAAATTAGCCAGGTGTGGTGACAGGTGCCTGTAATCCCAATTACTTGGGAACATGAGGCAGGAGAATTGCTTGCACGTGGGAGGCAGAGGTTGCAATGAACCAAGACCTCGCCACTGCACTCCAGCCTGGGCAACAAGAGAAAAACTACGGTTCAAAAAAAAAAAAAAAAAAAGGAGGTGTGGTGGCTCACACACTCCTGTAATCCCAGTACTTTGGAGGGGCAAGACAGATCACCTGAGATCAGGAGTTCAAGACCAGCCTGGACAACATGGTGAAACCCTGTCTCTACTAAAAAAAAAGTATGAAAAGTAGCCAGGTGGCACGGTGTGCGCCTGTAATCCCAGCTACTTGGGAGGCTCAGCCAGGAGAATTGCTTGAACCTGAGAGGCGGAGTTTGCAGTGAGCTGAGATTGCACCACTGCACTCCAGCCTGGGCCACAGACAAAGATTCCATCTCCAAAAAAAAAAATATATATATATATACACACACACACAAACACTAGGCTGGGCGTGGTGGCTCACACCTGTAATCCCAACACT